CAAATAATGGGACCAATCTGGACAGGCTATTTAGGGTTGTTTGTTCCGCCCCAACATTGTCGAAAAGCGAGACGATATCGTCCGCATAATGAAGATGCATTAATCTTTCACCAGGCAGAACATTAATGCCTACATCGTGAGATTCCACAAGGGAACACTCCATGATAGAATCCAAGATGAAATTGAACAAAAATGGGGAAACCGGACAACCCTGACGAACGCCACTTATGGTCGGAAAGCAATTCGATAGGCCACCGTAGACCCTGACGCGGCCTGTAGTTTTCGAGTATACAGCTCGAAGGATGCTCACATATTTCATGGGAACACCTTTCCGCGCAAATATTTCGAACAGTATCTATCGGTCGAGTGAATCGAACGCACTCTTGAAATCGAGGAACACAGCTATTTTAGGTCCGCGGCATGCGTGGCGCTGCTCTAGCACCTGCCGCAAAGTGATTATATAGTCTATATAGCCACGTCCTGGGCGAAAACCGGCCGGCTCTTCCCGAATCTGAGATTTCCGTTTCGCAATGAGGCGACGAACAAGAATCGAGGCCAATAATTTTGTCACAGTTGGTGTTAGGCCTATACTCTTGTGGTTAGAACAGTCTGTGCGACTGCTCTTCTTGTATGTTGCCACTATAATCGATTCGCTGCAATTAGCCGGGGCACTCTCTTCCTTGCAGATACATTCGAATAAGGTCAGTATTTAGCACAGGACTGTATCTCCATCATTAAATATTGCAGATGGGAGTTAATCCGGGCCGGTGGCAGGAACACGATTAAGGGCTGTGATCGCGTTTCGGACCTCGGCCTCCGACGGAGGCTCTAAACTAACCGTCCATGGCACGTCCTGCATCACCTGAGTAGGAAGAGGTCCGGGAGCAGGGGGCCAGCTGAACTGAGCTTGAAAATGTTCCGCCCAACGAGCCATACGGCGCTCCTTATTGTGTATCAGTGCACTCTCGGTGTCTCTGATTGTGTCACTGACACCTGGTTTTCTGGGACCAGAGGTGCGGATTAACTGGAAGAGCTTGCGGTAATTGCCTACTGCTCCTGCCTCCTCCATTTACTGAGCCCGACTGGTCCACCAGGCTTCCTTGTCAGCACGTATGCTCTGCTTTAGTTCACGCCTAATAGCCCGTCTTTTCACAATGTGTTCATGGCCAGTCGGAAGGTGTCTGCTATATTCCAACATGTTCCCCGAACTTTCGGATATCCAGTGACTAGTGCCGTGACGATGGATAGTGCCACAAGCAGATGATCCGTCGTCGTGCATGGCGGCCGAGATCCTATTCCACTGAAGCTCAATGTCATTAGGACAAGACCGCGGAAATTCGGTATACAGTGCTTCCTGATAGGCTTGCCTGACCGAGGACTGAGACAATTTCACTGTTGCCAATCGTAGGGGACACTTGGTGCGCCTCCCGGTAAAGTTCATGAAGAAACGACAGCGTACCAAGGCATGATCAGAGTCGACGCAGTTACTCCAGTATGAGCGGCAATCCAGGATGGAACCGCGCCACCTGTAACTTATGGCTATGTGGTCAATTTGGGTCCATGGCTGATAAGCTACAGGAGGACGCCAAGTGGCACTTCGGAGCCCACTGTGATACTAAAAACAACTGGCGCTCCGCCCACAATTGCAGCAGACGCTCATTGTTGTCAGTTTGTTCGGGGTTAAGCCCACAATTACCACCCAGCTGAGCTTCTGAAGAGCTCAGGCGCCTTAGTTGTGCGTTCATATCCTCTGCAAGTACTATAAAATCTGAACTAGTAGCACTGCGTAGTAGCGCGTTCAGTTCGTGATAGAATGTGTGCTTGAGAACATCTGAACTTCAGTCGGTGGGAGCATAAGCGGAAATCACAAACAAACAGCGATTGGTACTACTTCGTGAATCAACCTTTGCTGATGTCGTCAAACGAGCAACACATAAACGGCTGTTCACCGGAATCCAAGCAACCAACCATGGCTCAGCCTTGGAGGTTAGAATGATACCTACACCAGCTTGACCTGTGAGTGCTGCATCGGCGTCTCCGGATGCGTGCAACCAATAACGAGAGGATAAGCCGGGTGCAGTTAATTCAATAACCCCGTTGGGGTCATTGGTCCTAGCTTAGGGAACACACAACACACATCAATACCCCGTGTGTCCAAGGTGCGTGCGAGTGCAGCCTGTTGACCTGCTTGCCTTAGAGTGTGAACGTTGAATGTCGCCTTGGAAACGGGATAGCGTGGCCTTATAAGGGACTTTTGCCGATAGGCGTCCGATAGGTGTGGTGGGATGGTGGCTGCAGATGGTTCTATTCCAGTGGCACTTCGGTTGCTGTCAATTAAGCTGGGAATTATAGAAGGAAGGTTAGTAATGGTGGTCGGGATGGGAGTAGGAGAAAAAGGTGGAAAAGAAAGAAGGAAGGCGTCAGCAGTAGCATATTTTCGCTTATCCGCCCTGCTGTATGCAGCAGATAAGGTGACCCTTGATAATCTGCGCGACGACCGATGCAGGATGAAGTTTATGTTTGAAGATGTCATGGTTGTATGTGGGCTGAGATACTGCCAGGGCACCCAGACATAGACAGGAGGACGATTAGGATCCTCACCCAAAGTCTTTGGCTCAAAAGCCTGTCCGCAATGCAGCGGAGAGGTGGCCATGATTTAGGTTTACAGAAATGGACGCCATCCAATTTCAAACCCCCAACCTGGAGGACCAGGAGACTGAGATTGTCTGACCTATCACCATTGACCAACCTGGTAGGAGGAGCCCTCAAGGTGCCCGGAGGCATCACCTAGTATAGCTCAATGGGTCAATGAGGTAGGCAAACCGTCGCCCTACGTTATGGTCCCGTCTCGTTGCGACCGGGCAATGAAACTAGTCAAGTTGGATTGCTTTATCCGCCGTCAGTACCTTTTTCCTTCATCGCATCAATTAAATAGCAATGTGTCGCGTTTAGGCAGGATGGATAGTAGTAATATAACGCAGAAACGAATCGTCGTAGCATCCCTTCTATGGCAAAATCCGCACCATCTCTCCCAGAAACTGTGTGAGTGAACGCATTCGTTTTTCTGCCAGGCGATTGTTAACGGACTTGCCATTAAGGTGGTTATATCTCGCGTCAAATTACCTTTACCACCCTCTTTGCGCTACGTAGGCGTGGATTTAGTTAATCCCGATAAATAAATGCTCTGACCACTAGACTATTCGTTCTTGCCAGGTTTCTGTTTGTCTAATGGCTTTCATGCAATCTGCTGGGCGCTTAGGTAGAGGCGCTGTTGAAGATATACCTAGGTGAACCATAGCAGTGTCTTTCTTATCATCTCCACCCAGCCAGTGTGTTTGGATCCTATAAGTTAGCGGGTAAATTCCGTGATGACACGAGATAACGAACACCGCAAGGAAATTGCCTTACTGAAATCCTTTTTCCTTCAAAGAAACGTTATACTTTTTCAATTAGGCAGTGTTTCTGGGATGTACCGCGTAGATTCCCAATGGTTGCGCAGACGTCGGGTACTCAATTTTAATGCTAGTCATCTACCTTCCTTTTAGTTGCTGCCAATGTTATCTCTCCTTCTTTATACGTCAGTGGTTGTATAGTAAGACAAAATACCAGTACGACACAAGCGATGCTAATGATGGGGATGATATATCCGTGTCGAGGATAACAGAACTATCGATGAATTTACAGTGCCCGACTAAAATTCTCACCAATATTATAGCGAATGTATGAATTTAGCCTGGCAAATTATTTGTTGCATTGCTTTGGTTACAGACCCGCATTTGTATACCGAGGTTTTCCGTCATATTGTCAAGTAGATAGTTCAACTTCATACAACAACATACATTTAAGTAATTTGCGTACAACTGACTTTGCCTTACTACGAGTACAAAGGTTGCATTTTTTAGGTGTGGTGATTCAGCTGCGTGGCAAACTACGAATGAACTAACATGAATATCACCATCGGCTCCGGACAATTATACACCAAACCATGACTCATACACGTTTTGCGCGACAACTTTGTCCACCTGCTCCTAGGTAAAATTGGATTCTGTTATTTCCTTTGTCAATATCCAACTGCATAAAATTCAATCGCTTACTTATCTGTATCACAATTTCATATATTTAGTCGTCACCTCAATCGGTGTACTTTTAAACCATTAACGGATGGCATGCAACCTCATACGCTTTGGTCCAGCTGCTTGTGGATTCTATTCCTTTTTTCTATCTGGATGTCATACTCCTGAAGAAGACACATTCGGTTTGATATTCATCTCACCAATTTATCCACTCATTGCGTACAACAGACACTATTTTCCTTTTGGCCATTGTTCTTATTGTAAAAATCAATGCTTGTATTAGAACTATACTTTCTTTCAATATTCTGTTGCTTATACTAATCACCTTTTTCTTCCTTTATTTGTTCTGCTCAGAATTATTCCAATAACTGTCAAACTACAGGCAACTATCCAGATTTTTGAGGAACTCAGTCGCGTCTCTGCCTGTTTGCATTTGTGGTTACCTGGCGCAGGTGCGCCCTGTGGACTCAGAGCGATGCAGGCCTGATTCTCATGCAGATTGCATCCACCGGACAACATACATAAAGCACAATCCGGAGTAACGGCAACGGAGAGGTGGAAAATCCCATTACGTTGTAGATGAACATAACATGACAGTAAATAGGTTGCTGAATATTATATCGAACCAGCATAGATTTAACACCTCGCATCGTGGGAGAGCTAAGTCATTTACGTAAATAAGCATGAAATTCGTGTATTGTTCTTATCTGACCCTCTGCGGGATTAGAATTTCTCGTACTCGAGGAAAGGAAGTCAACGCTCCCGCAGTGGGTTTTCTGATTCCGAAACTTTAAATCGCTCTCCCTACATTGGCAGCATTGGCAGGAAATATAGTGAAACGTTGTTTTGCTTAAAGCTGTTTATTCTTAAAGTAAAAGTGACCAGCAGCGATATAAGCGTAGGCTAATGTGCACCCAAAAGTTAGTGTCATTCCAAATACTCGCTAACAATTTGGAAAAAGTGCTTCATAATCTTCTCCATAGTGTCCTTGTTCTCCGTAATCTGTGGGACTGATTTGAAGAACTCTGTGAATGATGGCTCCCCACTCTAAATGATGAAAGAAATATCAGTGTCACTTAGCGAAATAGTTGCGGTTATTTCACTGCGGATAGCAACTTGTCACGCACAAACTCACCAGGAAATCTGATTTAGTCACATTCCACTTTTGGTGTAATTTGCCCATTTCATCCAAAACTTCAGTGAGTTTCTGCTCATCAGCAGACGCACGAATAAACTTTAAAACGCGTTCCATCGCATTTCGTCCGTAATATTTTATGCCATCAGACTGAATCGCATGATCCAAATCCATGCCGCGAACTCTTCTGAACAAGTCGATGTGTTGTGGCGTAGCGGTGAAGAATCTACAACAAAATTGCACTACGCTTGCTTATGTTTAAAGTGTTGGTATCAGTAGAAATGCTTGGTTCTTACTCACTTGGTGTAGGCTTTTACACCTAGAGCTTCTAGCTTGGCTTCGTCGTCGACATTTGGTTCCAGCTCGGCGACCAACCTGTCAACCTCCTCCTGCGTCACAGGAACCATCAATACAACGTGAGCTATGCGCATGTGAAACTATGCTACTAGGTCTATTTATTCAGGAGTGCTTTAACTGTATCATGGCAGTGCATCCAATCACGAGCACATTTGGCGGTATTGGATAAACCAGATTGGACAGTCGGCTTGAGCCTCAATAATGGATGGCACCATGTCCGGACAATTGTTAGTTATCACCCCGTGAAACTCTGTCCACACAGCACGTGTTGGTCAACAACAATTAATCGAGGTTGGTTTACCATGTGACTTTGCGATTGGGTTTTATTTCGAATTATAATACAATCAGGAAAGAACACAATTATTCATGACCACGAGTGCTCAGTCCATCTGCGGTTGTCACACCATGTATGGTCACATGGATATTCCGGAACCAGTAGTAAACCCACACGACGTGCAGAGTTACATACCTTAGTGTCCCGAAATAAGTGTACCGCTTTTATCTTTACATGCATATTATTACGTCAGTATGCTTGTAATTGGATTCTTTCGGCAATTATCACTTTTTGAAACTTAATTACCGTTTCACCAACAGCAATATAGCTGTCTGCGTTTGTGCTGAATGTGGGGTCCTCCTCAAAGAACATCCGAGTTTCCTTTAGGCTCAAAGCACATGGTTTGCACGCGCATTCAGAAGCTTTTGTCCTTACCTGCTAATTTCTATGAGCTAGTCTATTATTAATAGAAGTGGAATAGATATTAGATGTCTAAGCAAATTCATGCCATCTCCGATAGGACTGTAAGTTTAAAGTCTTCATCTTTCACCCACTTTAATGTTTTCGTAGCATTTGTGACATCCTTTGACCGAGTGGTTTAATTTCTACAGAAAACCTACACAGATCCTTCACCAAATACTTTTTGAAAGGAAGATTTCTTAAACAGGCTAGATCGTTGCCAAGAACTTCAGCTCGAATACATGCAGCTGCGTCAGTTAACTTCCAACTTTCTACAACCGTGCCTTACTCCAATTTGCATGTACTAAAATTGCGACGTAATTTGGTAAAGTGAACCGCAACCGTGTTAAGGTTCTATTTATTACGAAATCAGAGAAATCCCGCATTCCACTTTATTCGCGGTGGGTTGATGCACAGTCCCGTAGTATGTAAAGATAACCACGACAAATTCGTGTGAACATGCCAGAGCTCTTGTGTAGAAAACGTAGACATTCGCTATTAATCTGAGCATGAGAATGACTTGTTGCCTGGACAACTTTACAGATTGTCTTTATACAAGGACTGTAATTACTAATCTACCAGCGAACATACTCATGGGAGTAAAGTACTTCGAGCCGTTGGCGGAGCGTCCAATATTTGGATCGGTATTCTATACCGACTAATTTCTGAGCGAAAATTTAGAGCGATACCCCTGCTGTTTGACGTAAAAGACCAAAGACCGATGTATTGCTATCGAGATCTTCTACCTATTCCTCAGAATAGCCAGGGGAGCAACATTTAATAACTGGTCACGCAATTCCAGTACAAAGGATACAAATGCGACTTTTCAAGAAGCTCTAATTTTCAAATGCGAGCTCTTACTCTAGGGAAATGTAAGACTATAGTCCATCATA